TTTCTCTGTATCTATGAAGCGCCTTGAGGCGACTTTTGTTGTGATTTGGCGCTATATAAATAAAATTGAATTGAATTGAATTGAATTACGTAACATTTAAATCCAGTTTTGAGAGCCTTGATGCTCGGTAAAAGTATTTTAATATAATACCATTTACTCAATCCAAAATCTGTTGCTGGCATTACTGTGATCGTTTTCCAGAAAGTTAAAATTTGAAAATGACCAAAAATCGTAAATAGTGCACATTTCAGATGCAGTTGTTCACATGACCATTAAATGTCACACCATCTTAAATTGTGACCAAAGCACATAACTACATATGTAGAAGTAATCACCAGACCCCCCCAAAAAACAATTATTTTTTTTTTTTAAATTTTGTAATTCTTCTAGAGCCACTCAGAACATATTCCCTTCCTCAGTGCTCTACAGTAGAGCAATAAGCAATCATCAATGACAGAACATGTGCAGTACAGCACTACTCCATCAGCTTCATGCTCAAAAGGGAACATCACAACTCATCATCGTGGTTAGCGAGACCATACACTCTAGAAACACATTCCTCAAGTCAAAAACTAAAGAAATGATCCCTGAAAGTATAGCCTTAATGAAATTGAGGATGGAAACAACAAGTCACTCTCAGTACAATTATTCTCACTCAGGGTGTTGATCTTTTAGAAATCGTCTCATTGTCTAATGTTACTGTTTGTCTGTCTGTTATGGTTTTTAGTATAGCGTGTCATTCAATCATGAGTATTTTAAAAAATGGTCAAGCAAACTTCATTCTGAGAAATTAATTTTTAGATAAAATGTTAGATGTTGTATCTATTTCATGCTTAGAAGGAAGTATTACAAGTCATTGTCGTGGTTAGCAAGACCATACACTTTAGAAACACATTTCACAAATCAGGAACTATAGAAAGTGTAGTCTTAACTTACATGAGTTTTAGTATAGTGTGTCATGCAATCGTGAGAGTTCTAAAAAATTATTAAGCAAACATCATTCTGGAAAATTAATTTTTAGATAAAAGTCACCAAATGTTGGGGGTAACGTATGGTTACACTGTAACCTTGGTTCTCTGAGCGAGAGACTATCTCTCAACCCTGTATATATGGAATATGTAACGGGGTGGAGAGAGATACTCTCAATATGATAGAGAACAGCTAGATTTTAAGCAAAGAGAACAGAAAAAAAATTCTCAGTCAGACAGGACTACGACTCGTGAGGATGACTCAATTTGATTGCCACACCATAAACTTTAAAAAAATATCTCAAATCTATCAAATAAATAAGTAAATGTGTTTTAGTGGCACATTTCTTAACTATTTCTTAAAATAAGGAAGAAAAGCACTGGTATCTTTGGATGAGCCACTGAAGTAACCGTGAGTAAGAATGATGCTACCATGAATGAGATGCAGTTTTAACCCTCCTGTAACCTAAGACTGTACTTTCAGGGATCATTTCTATAGGTTTTTACTTGAGAAATGTGTTTCTAGAGTGTATGATCTCGCTAACCACGATGATGAGTTGTGATATTCCCTTTTGAGCATGAAACTGATGGAGTAGTGCTGTGCTGCACGTTTTTTTGTCATTGATAATTGCTTATTGCTCTACTGTGGAGCAGTAAGAGAGAGAATATGATCAGAGTGGTTGTAGAAGTGTTAAACAGGCACTGAAAAATTTGTGTAATATTTATCTGTTTAATTGCTCATTGTTACTTCCCTGTGGTTCAGTGAGACAGTGAATGAGATAAGAGTGGAAGTCCTGTTTAAGATTAAAAAACTTGTGTTGCTGTTTTTTTCCATCTGGTGATTTCTGGTTTTAAACGGTCAAATAAAGGACAGTGCTGAGCTGAAATTATCTAATAAATTGTTAACCCTAGACCAATAATACAAGTGGGCACTAGATGACTAGATTAACATGCAAGTCCATTTGTCTGCCTATCAGGTGGGATTAAAACAAAGAGCATTACTTGATCAAAATTTGGCCAATCTCACATTTAAGGTCTTCTTCTTGCACACCTCTGGCTGCTATTTATAGATCACACATTATGTATGGGCAGAAATCTGTGCCATCAGAAACTGTTTGAATAAGTTAAATTTGAATTTGAATTGCTCGCATTGAATCTGAATTGTAACTTGAATAAATGCTTTTAAAAACTGAATATGAATTAGCCTAGCTTTGACAAACAAATATGATCGACTGTTTCTAGTAGAATTCCAAAGTTGTCATCTTGTACCCTCTCAGAGCCCTGTATGCTTGCAGAGACCCCTACAGTAGGGAAACATGCAAAACAGTGTCCAAACCTTTCTATTTTAGCTTTATTTATGTCTTACACAGCATCCCAACTCTTTAGCTAACTTAATAACTTTAGCTAAAGTGAATAGTTAGTCTAATTCATTAGACTCCCATAATTATGCTCCCTTGCACTTGTGTATCTAGAAATCTTTTTTTATTTTTTTTATTTCAACAAACTATTATCTGAGACCAATAATACAAGTGGCCACTGGATGTCTCTACCTGCTTGAAGAGTTGGTAGACTGACAACATTTAGTCTAAGTTTAAGAAATTCTTCTTCAACAGACTCGTCTCTGTCACTCACTAAAAAAAGAAAATTAGTGTAAAGTCCCTTAAATAAGCCTTTTTTCTCATTTTTAGTTATTAATACAACTACTAAATTCTACTTACACATGAAGGGACTTGCATAGGATGAATGCACCTGTGCTTTTAGTGCTATGACACCGGCTTGGTGAATATATTTAAAGCCTTTCTTAGAACCACTCAGATCATATCCTCTTTTTCAGAGCTCCAAAATTAAGCAATGAACAGTCATCAAGAACAGAAAACACATGACAAAGTCATGGTTGTCGGTCACTTTCACATTCAAAGGGGAACATCACAACTCATCATCGTGGTTAGCGAGACCATACACTCTAGAAACACATTTCTCAAGACAAAAACTATAGAAATGATCCCTGAAAGTATAGTCTTAGTTAAGCAAAGTCCATAAAGAGCTAGTGATTCCCAGGACAGTCACTCTCACTAATGGTTTGCCTCAGCTGTCAAACATGGCCAAAGTCTTGAGTTAATGAGAAGTTAATGAACTATTACTGTTGTACGTAACTACAGTAACATTGGCGCAGATAAATCTGAAGTTAGAGTTGATTACGTAACATTTAAATCCAGTATTGAGAGCATCGATGCTTGGTAAAATATAATACCATTTACTCAATCCAAAATCTGTCGCTGGCATTACTGTGATTGTTTTCATGAAAGTTAAAATTTGGAAATGACCAGAAATTGTAAATAGTGCACATTTCAGATGCAGTTGTTCACATGGCCATTAAATATCACAATGTCTTAAACCATGACCGAAGCCCATAACTACATATGTGGAAGTAATCAGCAGACAAAATAAAATAAACTTACTGGTTCTTTTAATTCTTCTAGAGCCACTCTGATCATATTCCCTTCCTCAGTGCTCTACAGTAGAGCAAAAGGCAATCATCAATGACAGAACATGTGCAGCACAGCACTACTCCATCAGCTTCATGCTTAAAAGGGAACATCACAACTCATCATCGTGGTTAGCGAGACCATACACTCTGGAAACACATTTCTCAAGTCAAAAACTATAGAAATGATCCCTGAAAGTACAGCCTTAGTTAAGCAATGGCCAAAAACAGCTAGTGATTCCCAGGACAGTCACTCTCACTAATGGTTTGCCTCAGCTGTCAAAACTGGTTAAACATGAACATTAGCTCAGACTTAAATGCAGTTTTAGATTTGGTAACCGCTGTTCTATGTAAAATGTGTCCTTTGTCACCACCTCGAGGTGTGGCGGAGGCTGGCACCCTAGACTCTCAAAAGTAAAATATCCAGTCTAAAAAATGAGTGTAATTTTACTTTACTGCATGGTTCTGTAACCATACATACAGCATTTTGCAGTTACAGATAGCAGTCTCCAATCTGAACGCACTTGAGGTGCTATCATCATTGCTTCACAGAATGAGACTGTCAGTGCAAAGTTCAATGCACTTACTGAAAAAAAAGATTTGCAGATACACAAGTGCAAGGTAACATAGAACAGAATAGAATACCTCTTTATTGTCACTGTTACAAGAACAATGAAACACAGTTTGGCATCTTTCTGTAAATCTACACAATAACACAGGCATTTACATTTACACAAGAAAGATATGCGCACATATGGCTA